AGGAAGGAAGGAAGGAAGGAAGGAAGGAAGGAAGGAAGGAAGGAAGGAAGGAAGGAAGGAAGGAAGGAAGGAAGGAGTGGTATGGGGCAGTGCTGGCTAAAGAAGGCCTGAAGGCAGGGCCCTTGGAAGGACTTGAAAACACCCCTCCATTCACCTGCAGTAATAGGTCTCCTTTCTCCCTCCAGACCCCATTTTATGCCAAGTTCACTGTTTCAGGCATTTGTACTCTGGCTTGTAACAGGATAAAAATATCAGTGCAACCTTTTTCAGGCCAATTTGGCATTTGAGAGTCTTGCTAAGGGCAAGGAGGTAAGCCAGAACAAAGAATTGGGCAAAAACTCAATTTGGTTTTGTTTAATCTCACTAAAATCTAAATAAATAGGATGACTTCCCAAATAATCACATTAAAAATGGCAATTCAGCAGAAATTTTTGGAAGGGCTTGGGGGTCACAGGAGGCCCCGAGGCCTCAAGTTGCAGGCAGGGTAGGGCAGTGTCTAATTTTAGGTGCCTGGGAGTTGCTGGAGAAGCCCACCTCCCCTGACTCTTCCTGTTAGGGTGGGACTTGCTTCCCGTCACGGGACAGGTGCCAAAGTACTAGGCAGCCTTCCACTTCTGCTCCCACCCACCCACCTTGACAGGGAAGCAGAAATCAGAATATCTATGGATGTGAAGGAGGAAGAGGGCAGGTGCTTCAGATGGTTTGCATCTACCTTACTGGCCATGTTGTTTGTTACGCAGCTGTTTATTTTAAAAACTTGTAAAAATCCTCACTGCCTTTTGTTCACAACCTTTTCTAAAATACAAGAGCTTCTGTATGTAACTTCCACTAACAGATGCATTTGCCTATTTTTAAACTTTATCTTCCTTAATGTCATTCTTATTTGTGTAAATTCACCAAGCAGAATTTCAACATATGTTTCTCCAAATCCCAGTGCTTTTTTCAGAACGCTGCTCCCCTCTGCTCTGACAGAGCATTGCTGGGGTTTAGTAACCTTCTCCAACCCCCACCACTCTCTCCACGTGCCACAGAAGTCCCTCGGTGCTCCCCATAGGAAGGGGGGGGGCTGAAAGAATGAATTGCCTGGACCTTTCTGAACGCAGTTTAAACTGTCCTTGCAGGATCTACGAGGAGAAAGCTGATGGATGGTGATTCTCTTGAGTCCAGGAGTATCCTTGCACATCCTCATATGTTGGAATTAGTTCTCGCCTCTGTAGCTATAAATTATTCTCCTATCACCTCTCCCCTTCTTTCTCCTGGAAGCTCATGCTTTGGAGACCAGGGAGACTCAGAGAAGAAACAAGTGATTTGCAGTCCTCCTCCTCTTTAACAATTCCCTCCCCACATCTATTTCCACGTTAAGTACCTACATAATCAACCACTTAAACCTTCTAATATATGACTTCCAGGCAAACGTCCCTGCATTCAAATTCAGCATTGCTGCTTGTCTCTTTTGATGAAAGCTGAGTGAGTGCCATAGAAAGAAGGAGGAAATGTAGGTAGTTCTTTAAATTAAGAGGTGGCTAATTTTCTACCACTCAGCATGTAATTCCTCCCTGGATGCTGCAGGTTTCCTGGAAAGAACATTTGGAATGGTGAAAGGATGGCGTGAACAAGAAATGGAACTGTCTGGCCTGATTACCTTTGGTCCTGTTTGGCCTGGCATCCCTCGAGCACCATCGCTGCCAGCCCGTCCCTAAAAGGAGAGGAGAAAAAGGAAATTAAATTGCCAGACCAGATCAGGGTGGAACAAAGTTTGTTCTTGAGCTGAGGCTAGGTCATAGGGCAGACCACCCCCTCCACTACCTGCCCCCTTCCTGCTTCTCCTCTACATTTTTCACAATTCATCTGGCTGCCCGTGCTTGGAATCAGAAGAGTGGGCTGGATGGACCTTGGCTTTGTTCTTGTGCTTGCAAGAGCTGACTCACCTTAAGCCATTGTCGCATGCAATCCCTGCTAGGGCCAGAACCTGCTACCAGTTGAAGAAATTCTGCAATGACTCAGTAGTCGGTAGACCAGACTAGGAAACCAAAGTCATGCACGCTAATACTACTTTTCTTGTAAGGTTACAGTAACAGAATCTTGCAAGTCTGAATGGGCTTCCCCCATCCCTCCCTTTATCTTTGTGAGAACTAGGGAGGGTCTTGTCTGAGACGCTTCCTCGGATTACATTTCTGTCCTGGACTCAGATTTCTTTTATCTGACCATTGTCTTGGTAGCAGCTCTTCTGTCTATTCCTCAGAGTTATTCCTACTGTAGCTTATCCAGTTCCCTGGTCACTTAGTGGCTTCTAAACCTCACCACTTGGCATTCAGAAGACCAAGGAGAATATGTTTCTGGAAAGTTACCTCCAGGGCTGCAAAATCTCTTTTGCATTTTTCCATTTGGGGGCTTTCCATGAGCATTGCAGATATCAGAGGATGTGAATTCTTGCAGACCTGTCTGTCTCCTTCCTCCCAGAGCTAGTGGAACTAGTGCAGCTCACACAGCAGTGATGTAACTCAGATGATCTGTGGGGCACCCAAATCTGCATGTGCCACTGCATTCTGGGCCAGTTGTAGCTTCTGGATGGTCTTCAAGGACAGCCCCATCTAGAGTGCATTGCAGTAATCCAAATGGGAAGTGACTAAGGCATGAGTGACCATGAGTAAGGCCTCCCAGTCCAGGAATGGGCACAATTGGCACACAAGGTGAATTTGTGCAAATCAGCTCCCCTTATCTTAAAGATACGGTTATGGATGTATTCCATGAATGCTTCTAGCTAGAAATATGCCCCTCCCTAATAACTGGCTTTATTATTCTGATCTTATTGTTTAGATGTTCTTTTTAATGTTCAACCAAAATTAGTCCCCACTTAATCCCATTAAATCTTTGCCATTCTCTAGGAGACATCATTTTAGATGGGTAAAGAGTGCTTTACCCAGCCTACCCTAGCTTTGCCAACATTTTCTGCAACTTAATTGATCTGTTGGGTGAGGATCTGTTTCAGCTTGACTGCTATGTTGAGATTCAGAGTGATAGCCATGTTAAACTCTTGCCATGAAAACAACACAGGATCTCTCAGCACTTTAAGACAAATAATCTGGTTACTGTGTGCTTCCATTAGCCACAATCCATCAGCTCATAGGCTGAGAGGATGGACATAACATCTATCCTCCATTGAGGATGGAGAGGAGTGGCAGTGCTGAAAGACAGGCAGAAATGTCTCTATCCTCACTTCCCACCTTCCTCTTCACCATTCGCCCTTTCTTCCTCCTAACAGCTCTGAGTATACATGATATTACATCTGATTAAACGCTTGTGATCTGCAAAAACGCATGCAGTATTTCATCTACTCATCATTAAGATGTCACAAGACTCCTTGTTCTTTATGGCAACTCATACAAAAGCAAGTTCTTGAATTAGGGAATGGTCTTGCAGGATTGACCCAACACTGACACTTTGAAGAATAGCTGAAAACTTGCCTGCCTTCCTTTGCAGATGCAAGGAGGAAAGGCAAGGTGAGTCTATTATCTTAAAATAAGATATTTTGAGAGGCAGACATTAAAAAGCATATGGAGCACTTCTCTCAAGAGATCATGATGAGATGCAGAGGGGTTCAGTTGAGATCAAAGATGTGCTAAATGGCTTCTTAATATTTCAATTAAACAGGCAAAGGCTGGCTGTTAACTTGAATAAACCTGACTCCAAACTGCTACTATTGTTCTTGCACGCTTCCTTGAAACATGTGACCTCCCCTTCCACTCTCTCTGTTTTTCTCATGTGCTGCTGTACAAGAATAAACCAGAGAGGACGAAGTGATACAGCCACAGAGGTTGGACCTCCCCCAGTCTGAAAAACATTCAAAGCAAACACAGAATTCCTTGTCAAGAGAGACCAAAACTGAGTCCAGGGCAAGAGGACTGGATGTACCCAGCAAGGTTTCACCATTCCTGAAGCTGTTGTGAGATTCCCCCTGAAAGTAGTATTTCTCGTTGTTCAGTTGCTTTCAAGTGACTACTTGTCACAACAGTTGCTCACAAGTGACTACCTCATGATCCAATGGACATCAATTCTCGGGGATTGTCTGTTCATAATTGAAGTTCTCATAAGCGCCTGCTTATATCGTCAGTGATAGGACCTACCCACTTTGTCTTCTGTCAGCCTCTTTTTCAGTTGCCTTCAGTTTTTCCAAGCATCAAGCCTTCTCGAATGGCTCTTCTCTTCACATGGTGTATCCCAAACATTAGCTTGGGTATTAGCACTTCCAGTGAGCAGTCTGGCATCAGAATTTCTTTTGTTCAGCCTTTCTGATGGTCCGGCTTTCACAGCCAAGTGCTACAGCTGGGAAAACCATGGCCTTGACAACGGGCACTTTGGTGGCAGTGTGATATCCCTGCACTTCAGTGTTTCATCTCGATTTGCCACAGCCTTTCTCCCCAGTAGCAGATGCTTCTTTCTTTCACGGCGACAGTCACCGTCCCTGTCCATTTTTGTGCCTGGGAAGATAACCTTGATTGCTGCTTCAGCTTCTTCTCCACTCACGTACACTGGGGGTTGGCAACTCCTGTTGACATAATCCCTGGGATTTGCCTAATATCAACCTGCTTTTGCACTTCCTTCTTTCATCTTCAGTAAGAGATTCCTGAATCTTCCCTGCTCCCAGCCAACAAGGCGGTATCATCCGCATATCCGAGGTGGTTGATATTTAAGTTCATCCCTAAGATGCTGCCATTCAGGCAGAATTGTGAGGAAAGCAGCTGCAGGATTGTGAAGGAGCTTTGAAGCAAATTTGAATGCACACACTAAAGGAAGTGGTTCCTTTGGGGCTCCTGCCAAACAGGCCTCTGTGCTGCTTCTCACTCTGCCAGTGACTCGCATGGGTGACCCTGCCAGGGCTCTTTATGAGGATCTGCACAGAACATTATTGTAGGGTCACCCTGGTTTTGAGATGCCAGGACTGTCCAGGCCTAGCCAAGATTTCCAGAGTTTACTTACCCGGCGTCCTGGTTTCCCTGATGGACCCGGAGGGCCTTGTACCCCTCGTGGACCCTGGAACAAATTGAATCAATTGAAAATCAGAACCTGGCTTTTTTCTTTTCCAAGGGAGTGCTGGGGGGGAGGCCTAAGTTTTGACGCGTTGTTACTAAGTGCATCGACAGCACAAGAACGGTTGAGAGGGCTTGATGTGATCCTGTTGCAACTCCCCAGAACAATTACTCTGGGAGACTGCAAAATTCAAGAGTCTCAAGAAAGTTAATACGCAACCATCAGGGCTGTGCCAAAAAATTCTCCAATCTGACAAAAGAAAAATTGTTTTCAAAATGTCTCTTAAAGAAGAGGAGAATCTCAGCGACATTCCCTTGAGTGCAGTGAAGTGTTTTTGGACTGACGTAGCAACAAGATGGCCTAAGGGTGCAAATGTCCCATCTTGCCTTGCCCCATTTCCAGCCTCTCTGGCTTCCATTAAGTCCCAAGAGAAGTCCCCAACTCCCCCCCCCCCCCCCGGGACTCCTTCAGAGCAGGAAAGGCGGGCAGCCAATTTAGTGCACCATTTTACCAGTGCACAGGGACAGCCCAGTGCTCAACCGCAAAACCCTGCACAAAAATATCAACGCCAAACTTAGACGTTGCTTTTCGCTCTCTTTGGGAAATATGCCTGAAGCACAGTTCCCTTGGAACCTTTGGTGAAGCCCTGTTTTTGCTTCAATTCAGGCATTAATTTTAGAAAGCCTCTCAGTCAAAGCAAAATTCAGTAGAATCAGGAGGCGAAGCAGAGCAACCCCCAGCCCCCCGAAACCGACTGGGGGAAAGAGCACATTCGTCTTGCTAATCACTCCTACCTGAGGCCCCATATCTCCCGGTTCACCTTTGATTCCTCCACCGCCTGGGGGTCCCTGTGTGAAAAGAAACATTGGTAAAAAGGCACGTCAGGAAAAAATGTCCTTGTGGCTCCAAAGGCCCTTTTGCGGGGAGGGGTCCAGCAGCAACCGATGCAAAGGACCACTGAGATGACAGATCAAGAATGCTCTCTGCAGGCACACAATAAAAGATTTGGCCTTGAGCACCAAAAAGCCTATTCAACCTTGTCAGTCTCCAGCTAACAGAAAAGAAGGCACTCCTTGCATTCGGATGGCCCTACAAGCAACAAGGCCAGAGGAGTGGGAGGCCCTGCTTCCAAGGGATACGGACATGGACTTAAGGATCATAGAAATGTCATTGGAAGGGATCCCGAGGTTCATCTCGCCCACCTCCTTTCAGATTTAAAAAGCCATCTTAAAGATGTGCTGCTGAATTCTACCCTATCTAGCCAGCCTTTTAAGTTCTATTCTCAGTAGGCGTTAAGGACATTAACTCGATAGGATTCAAGCTGCTAAAATAATGGCTGTTGAAGAATAATAAGAGTCAACAGGAGACTCAGATGAAAGGATCATGCCTTCCACATGACAATTGTTGCTGCTGTTGTTCCAAGAGACAGGAGAAGAAACTACAAAGCTTGGTTTAGCAATCAGGGCTGTTCACAGTGGAACAGCTCTCCCTGGAGATGGGGGACACACTGAGCCGGGGCTGTTTAAACAGAGACTGGGTGGCCGCCTGTCAGGGATGCTATAACTCTGGCTTCCTGCCTCAGGAAGGGGTTGGGCCCTCCAACCCTGACATTCGATGAAATCTGCCCTCCTGGTTTTATTTTTTCGGAACAGGAGTTTATTCCATTTTCCAACTGCCTCCCCAAAACTACTCTTTTTCCTGACTCCTTCGTTAAGTTTGTAAGCAACGAAAACTGCAGTATAATAGTCGGGGAACTAGGCTGTTTTATCCAAGGCAAATCAGATTCAGTTCTTAAAGAACTCAAAATCATCCGTAATGTAGCAGAATGCAAAATTTTCTGCTGAAAACTGAAATGAACTGCAGAAAGCAAATAAACAAATCAGCTATAGCTTAGACCTGTTTCAATATATTTCGCAAGGACAGGGTTGCATATTCCACATGACCATGGCACGAAGCCCCTTTGGGCTTTGCAAAGAACTCTGGGTAAGAAAAAACACGTTTTCCTCCCAAACACCACAAACCAGTGAGAAGTTGGCACCGTTCTGCAGTGACAAAACTTGTTGTCCAACATCCTTCAAAACAATGGCTGAGTTCACCGAATCCAGGGCTGCCGCTGTGAGTGGGCGCCTACATCTCCCCTCCCTCACAAAAAACCATTAAACAAACTGGGACAAAGTGGTTTAGTGTGAACAGCTAAACCATGGTTTCTTCGAGGCAAGGAGCCCATCATTTTTGGAGAATGCGACCACATTGTGCAAGAGGGCTTGCAGAGCTGTTTGAAAGGGTGCATCCTTGACACCAGTGAAGCCTCACTCCAAGAAGTCACAGGTGAGAACTTGATGACACTTCATTTTTTGTTTTACTTACATTTAATGAAATGTGACTACCCTCCAGGCATGTATTCCATAATATCCCACACACACACACACACACACACAAAATTGAGAATTACAACTTGATGGTGGCAATTTTTGGCACATTTCAGTGACCCAACGTCTCCAGGCCTCCGGTTGTGCACCGTCCCTCATAAGATAGGAAGCACATTTCAAAATCTTTCAATGGCTATAAATATTTCTCCAGAGGCTGTGCACAGCCAGAGTCCAAAGCCACCTCACTGAAGTATGGCCAAGTCAGCTGTTCTGCCTATGCCGATCACGAAGTTACGGAAAATGGTGTCCAGCGCGGTGGGAAAGGGGATTTACTCACCATGGGGCCTGGTCTCCCAGTCAGTCCCATTGGGCCCGCCGGTCCCCTCAAAGCCAGCTGCAGGAAAAGAGAGAAATGGTGTCATGGACCCCCATCAATTTCTGAAGAGCCATCCAGGGGCAGAGCTCTCCAAGCAGAGGTGGCTCCAGAGCCTTTGAAAGCCCCACTTGGTGACTTCAAACAATCCCACCGATGATCTTAAGCATCTGGCCTGGAAGAAGCCCCCCTTCTTGCTTATAGCTGGGGGGCAGGCATAAGGGACAAGCGGGGCTCTCCAGAACTTGGAATAAAAAGGAAATACATGCACGAGAGGAAGCACCGGACCCCTCTTTGCCAGGATGCTGGGAGAAGCAGGCGGGGAAGCCCGGACTGCCGCATTAAGCTCAGAGGAAGGAGAAGGGGGTTCTGCCGCACTGGGGAGCAAATGGAACCAGGGCCAAGCCTGCTAAGACACCATCCCGTCTGTATATGCCCCGCCTTTAACTGGATTTCTGCTGCAGGTGTGCGCTGTTTGGATCTTTGCTCACTGTGGATCCAAGCACGGCACACGAGAGGAATGGAAAAGGCGCAGACACGGAGGAGAGCAGGCAGCCCTGCGCTAGAGCTGGACTTTGCCCAATACAGTCCGATGCACACAGCGTTGCCGCCTCTGGGAGCCATGGGCCGTTGTCTGGACGGGCAAGGCTCTGTAGAACCGAGTCAGATCAGTGGGTATCTAAACAGACAAGCGGCCTTGACACGGGGCGCTTAATCAGGCCACTTAAAACCATTTCCACCACAGGCAGCAGTTACGGAGGATTGGTTAGATTGTGGGGGACGAGGGCATGCTGCAAATCCAGTCTGCTAGGCGGAATCATTTCACCCAGAAAAGGGGTCAAATCGGTTCTGTCATCAGATTCAGGGCATTATGCGAACCCAGCCCCTGAGAACGGGTTGAGCGGCACGCCGAAGGAGGCAGAACTCCCACGTTTGTGGGAATTTCCTCCAAAGAAAGCAGGGACTGACTATAGGTCGCTCACAAGACTTCCTTCGGAGCAGCACAAACAGGATTAGCGCCCCAAATGGGCTTACGCTTTACCTTTCACCCTAAGGCAATTACAGCCATAATCTCAGTGTACCAAAATAATAGGATTATATGTATCCCAGATACTGAAGTAGGAGGCGGGAAGTAGGCGAATCTGGAATAATTAACAATGACTTTATATCACTACACTACACAAAGAGCTTAAAATGTCACTGTCATGTTTTATTTTTATTTTTTAAAAAACCACTAATTAAAAAGTCATGTAGCTACGTGAGAGTCAATAAATCTCTCGGTAGGTAATGGGGCTGTCCACACTTTATAACCTTGCAGGGACAAATTTGTTCCGTTGCTAGAATTCAATAGCTTAAAAGACCTGTAATTATCTGTGTTCTCCAGTAATTAAAATCCACCCCTGCCCGCAACTAGAACAGCAAGGAAGTCACAGAAACACTAGATTATGCAGTAAACGGTGGCTGAGTGTTTCACGGCTCCCCGATTAAAAGGGGCAGCAGGAAAAAAAACACTTCTGCTTTGAGAGCAACATCCAAGGAAAGGCATCGCTTCTGGAAAAGGCAGTAAGCCAATGTCTGCAGGGCTTAAAGCCTGATTTAAAATCCCTAACCCTAACCCTGATTTAAAATCTCAGGCAGCCACGCAATCCGGCGCGAAGGTGCACGTGGGACTTGGCAGATCGGCCGAACCTGGGCACGTTCGATCTGCGCGTGAGGACCGTCCGACAAGGAGAGATGCGTCTCTGGCAGGAGCACATCTGTGCTGGGAGGGAAGGCTCACCCTTCGGCCCAATGGCTGCCCAATGCATCAGAGCAGGGCACGCACACTTTGGGGGCTAACGGGGACCCCTAGAATTCAGAAAGCGCTCCGTGGACACTGTCCCAGACAGGGAGTTTCCTGCGTATGAAAGGCTGCCTTGTGGGGTCTAACGAACAACAGACCGACCTGGAAATGCCACAAATATCCACACGCCCACTAGATGGCAGCAAGAGAGAGAAAAGGCCATCTCTCTCCTGCCATCTAGTGATTGTTCAGGGTTTTGGAGTGCAGATCCAGTCACCCTTGTCTATGGCCATCATAAAACACCCACTTAGGAGAAGGTAAATTGGGGAGAGAGCCCCTTCTCACTCTTCCGCCTCCTAGGATGCCTCCCGTCGTCCCAGCTTCCCTTGCCCTTTTTCTGAGCGCTGGACACACCTTCAGAATAATTCTGGGGCTGCAGCCACTCTGCATCCCTATTTCCTGAAAATGGGGTGCAGAAAGGTGCCCGGAGATTGGCTTCCTGGCAAAACAGCTGCTCGCTCCCTTTACTTGAACGGAAAGAATGGAAAGGCAGAGCGCCCAGAGGCTCCCCAGGAAGTCCGATCTCACCCACGCTGGCCTTGGCAGGTCTTGAGAAACTAAGCAGGGTCTGGCCTGGTTAGTAGTTGGGTGGGAGACTACGGGAAGTCCGCTGGCTGTAGAAGTTGGAAAGAATTCCCAGAAAAAGGAATTTCTGTGGAATTCCTCCATCCTGTGACATCACCAGGCATCAGGATGAATGCGAGGAGATCTCATTTTGACCCCTGCCCTATAATGGCACCTGGAAAAAGCCCCCCAATCTTCAGAAGCAGCTCCCAGGAGACCTCCCTCGACACATACACCAGTTTCTTGCTTGTTCTTGTAAAACAAGCTAAATCAAGTCAAAGATACGGCGCCTGCATTTGCATACTGTGTGAGAGTCAGCTAATTTTAACTTTGGTTAGTTTTTTATTGCCTAGTGTGTTGCGGGAACCCAACCTGGTTAGGAAACCGGTAACCAGGTTAAGCCTGCTGTATGAATGCAGAGACAGGCTTGGGTCTTGCTCTGGCATCCCTTAGCCAGCCAACACCCCCTGTGAGTGCAAACCAGCTTCCAGTGCCACCCAGGGCAAGGAGGCAAAATGCAGGGTCCACCACCGACCCGCATTCCAGCAGGACTGAGGTGTCCTTTGCTGCATCCCCCCGCCCCCACCTTCCCTGTGCTCCCTGCTCCCTTCAGACCACTGGGGATGACTCTCCCCAGCAGCAGCGGAGCGTCACATGTGATGAAGTGGGCAGCGGGACACTAAAGCTCGTGCAAGCAGAAACGGTCTTGTCTCAGAGCGGCCACAGTGGTGTTCTTGCTGCTGGGCCTCTGGAAAGGGGAACATGTCACCCTCAGCTGGGACTGTGGTGATTCCAAGGATTTTAGGGGAACTTGGGCAATTATCTGCAGAGCCACCTTTCCCCAGATACTCTACCCGGCCCACCAGAGCGGGGAGGCTGGGTATGTTGCGGGTCCCGTTGTTGAGGGAAGTACATCTGATGGGACCACGAAGAAGGTGGGCCTTTTCCATGGTGGCCGCTCCCTATGGAATGTTATCCCCTCTGAGATGAGATTGGCCCTCACGTTGATGTTGTTCCAGAAGGCCCTGAAGGCGTGGTTTTGCCAGTGGGCCTGGGCCCCCAAGCTGAAAAGGAGCCAATCAGGTGGTTGTTTTGACTGTGTTTCTGGCTGCCGTGGGGGGGTGGGGGGAGTTAATGAGGTTTGTATTGGGGATTTTATTCTGTAAGCTGCCGGGAGTCACTGTGTGTGAGTTGGGCAGCCATATATAAATTTGTTGAAAGAAGAAAGAAAGAAAGAAAGAAAGAAAGAAAGAAAGAAAGAAAGAAAGAAAGAAA